CGTCACAAATAGTAGTTTTTGTATTTGATAATAGATGACATAAGAGGTAATTACATTACTTACTCGCCTTATCCCGTATACCTGTCTTCTTGGTACGTGTACTTTAGCTTGTAAATGCAGACTGTTATACTTGCCTTTTTGTCAAAACTATATATATAGAAGATTTAAACTGTTATTGAAAGTATCGGGACTCCAGGTAATAATAGTACCCAATTCAGCAATAGTGCTCCTCAGCCAGTTAAAAACTTGCCCACGAAATATCGACGTTGAGGTGCCTTTGGCAAAACAATGACTTATACTTTCAAATTTGGTATAATGGCCAAAAATACTAAAATTCTGGGTCAAAATGTCCGACTAGATCATAACACGGGGGTCAAAACATACCTGTTCAATACAGACTGCGTTTTGGGGTCCAATGATCGGTAAAGGGGTCCGCATTCACCACCTTGGTTGTTATATTTATGGTTTAGTCATAAATCATTGATTGAATCATATTTACATTGTTCATATAGGCAACTTTAAAGTGTGAGATTTGTTATGGTTAATTTGCGTTTGTGAAGACACATAAATGAAATTTCGTGAACGTCGCTTTGAGCCCGATGAAATTACGTTATTGTAACATAGATGTCGGTGAGTAGTGGTTGGCTAATTGTGGCACTGCAATCACCATATTAAGGTACGACTTTGTTATTATTTTGAACATTTGTGTACTTGTTTCCTCATGGTTAGCTTCTATCAAAGGTTCATTCAACCATTGAACATCAGAGTGCTTGTTGAAGATCACACTTTTTGCTCTTTGGTGTTAAAATTGCGAAATTATATAAGTGTCATAAGTCGCCTGGAAAAGTGTAGGTAATCTTTAAACTATTATTTTTTAGTTTTAAATATAAACTAGAAGTACATTGTATGCGGAATCTCTGAGAAACAATTGTGTGCATCGTGGAGGTATAAACTGTGGATACCTCCATTTTGTTTTGTTGAAGTTTGTGGCTAGTCCACTTTAAATACCAAGATTAAAGATAAAATAGTAGAGGAGTGGCTAATAATAATATGCTACATCTACAGTTTTAAGACATGTTTTTACAGGGTTAAACATTTTCCAGAGTACGGAACAATTTAAATATTTATTTCGAAGAGAGTCCGTTTTTTATTTTATATACAAGTGTATACATATTCGCCACGCTATCGATATTCCTAGTTCAGGGCACACTTGTTACAATGATTCGCGGTTAACTAGGCTTTTCATTTTCTCGGACGACAACGCATCTTGGACTTTCTTATCCAAAGTGTTAAAATGCTCAACTCTTTTAATGAGGTGGGTGGTGTTGTGGGCAAGTTTGGCAATCCATTGTCCTGCAATACACTGACTAAAACAATTTTTCAGCGAGGGTGAAAATATTTAAAAAAAAAATAATTTAGATCTTCGCTTATATTGACACTTTTTTTATTAAGCTAATTAATAGTTTCTAAATATGAGAAAGTGCCTCAATTTCCACTCAGATTAGTTATGAATATTTATAAACTAAAGGTGTGGGAATGTATATTTAAAATAAATCCAGGCGTCACTTTGCGTCCAATCGACTCATCAGTAAATTAGAAAACCCAATAGAAAGCAAAACCAGCGGCCAGGATCGTGAAACCCGCAACAAGTTGAAAATTGCCACCAGGTCTTCTTTCACGTCTGTCGGCTTTCCTTTGTTGGTTATTATGTACCAACGCGTTAAGTTTCAATAAACGATACACCACCGAGTCTCTCAGCATCTGGATCAATTACATGTAATTCATCCGAGGGCTGAATGAATCAATTATAAAAACAAATGTCATCGCCTCCAATAAAATTAATCATTTTGACCAGTATAAAAATAAAAATGGTCATGATGTCGAAAAACACTGGTCAATATTGTCGTTAAAATAATGTCGATATCTTGGCCCTTTTTAAAAAATAAAAAAAAAACAGTGTAAGAATGCGAGTATTATTATAACATCCTCACTAACCTACACATACTAATAAATATGCAAAAGTTACCAAAAATTCAAACTTCCGGATACTATTTAAGCGTGTTCTATCACTATATGGCAACAAAGAGTACACAACAAACATGGACAGGATTACAGATGGTGTTTGTTTTCACAGCCAACTTGATGTACATATGCGTAAGGTGAACACAATTTAATCCTCGTAAATTCTGTGATAACCAGCCTTTGGTGCCAAGAACGAAACATCTCAAATGTCAATTATAATATTTTCTGAATATCGTTTTTACCGAGTCAGTGCACTACAGCAAATATTCATACAAGATACTTCATCCTTCAGCAATCTCTGAACCCAACTTTTTATGGTTGTTAATTATATATAGTATCAGCGTTTGAGAAGTATTTTATTAGAACATAAGACAGACCATTATGAAAAAAAACACACCCTTAAATGCCAGGGATGCATAGCCTTCTATATTTGTCTTCTGAAAAAGTCTAATAGACGAAAATCAAAAACAGGCTCCTTCTTCTTGACACATACATTCTTTTTCCATCAGTCAAAATATCTGGGTTATGCCTTTAAATGCACTAAATAACAAATATATACAGAGCTTTGTAAATGAAACATGTCAGCAATTGCAGAAACAATCTTTGAAGAAATTACATTAGTTAGCAAAAACCATTGACCAGTAGACTCTTGTTGGTTAGGATAATTAAAGATGCAATATGAATAATAACTTATATGTTTAATATTGTTGTTCAACACTTCATATTGTAGACCACAAGTCGAATTGTATGTACCAAAAACAACCAGGGCCCATATGTATTGGAGAATTTAATTGGTTCATCAAATACTCGAGCTACAAGATCATGATAAATCACAGTGAATAAATAATGTCATTATATAGGATGACACACTACTGACAGTCGGACCAATCATGGACCAATCAAGGAACAGCTTGTTTGTTTGACAGGTTTTTACAACATATTATTGTTCTGCCTAGTATATACTAGTATGCTTTGACTCAACCGTAGTTGCCAATATAGTTTATATTGTAATATAGAAAGGTAAAATGCAATGTGTTTTACTGAAATAGAAATGGCGACATAAATGGGAGGTTATATGTATAGTTACTTGCATGACTAGCCATGCTGTTTCAAGTGTAACATCCATACTGTTACTGGTATATAAATTTGTTCCCTCTGTGTACAAAACAATAACACAGCATAACTATTACAACATTGTCCATTAAGAATCTAGAATATATAAACAAATGGATAGATGGATACAAGTGCAGCATGATCTTTTCTTTGCAAGACAAAAAAGTAAGTCCTGCAATAAAATACCTAAACATTTTCTGCGAAAAATATTGCCTAAAATTTAGGTGGGAACAATCCTGACCAAAAATAGAAAAGAACAATGAAATCGTCATAACTACTTAAAAAATTAAATTAATATTCATGTTCCTCAAATATTACATGTACTGAATCATTCTCAATGTCTCTTATAGATTACTGTAAAATACTTTATTTTCGCTTGGAATTTATTTTTGCTGAATGCATGTTACAGCGAAAATAAAATCCAGGGAATACATTTTTTCTTATATTCAACTTGTCAAAAATAAACTCATACAAAACACCCAAAATATTTTTTTCAGGGAAAATTAAATATCTTACAGTAATATATAATATGACTTGCATAAAAGAGTTCATTTCTATTTCACCCAAATTTTACTTTACATATTGAAAATTGCATGTGGTAGTCAGTCCAAAATTGAACTTTGGTAAGATCAACAACAATGAGGACAAACATTTTCCTCTTATATAACTTGTCCTTCATCTACCATAATACAGCCATGGTAAAAGCTGCAAGAGACACTAAACTTCATCATACAAGGTGGTGGTACGCGTATATTATTCAAGTGAAAATTTAGAAAGATTCCACTTCAGTATGTTGTTTTTATGGATATGTATCATAATTGTTATTGCAATTTACCCATATAAAGGGCCCTCCACCCTATCAGTGGAGTACATTAAATTTTGTTTTGATGTACTGTTTTTTTTTTCTGTGAAATCAGTTTGGTCCAGTCATTATAAATTATTCGTCAATCACTTGGTTTGACTTAAAACATTCGCAAACGAATTGCAAAGTCTTATATACATATCATAACTGAAATATGACATACTGTTACATGTAAATACTATCAGTGATACTTAAATAAGGAGAATATTAACTTACTAACTTGATTCAAATTTTTAAATTTTACATAAATACAATTTTGAGTTCAGACAATTTTTTGATTTAAAAAGAATATACTCTCAAACCAGAGGCCAAGTAAAAATTATTGATTACAAGATGGTGAATGTAGATTAATAATTAATTGGAACCATGAAAGTGTGTCTGATAAATCTGTAATTAGAACAATCAAGATTTCCTTATATTTTCAGTAATTATATAATAATTATACAACATATTTCAGCTGTCATGGCTTTAATTGGGAATATTCTCATAGCACAGAAAAGAAATATTACATTATCAGTTATTGTGGGTCAACAATTACAGTGACGCCTTTGATTTGTAAATTACATAACCAACAACACTACCAGCATATTTGTACGAACAGTACAGTTGTGACATGTCACATGCATAGCCATATTCTGTAAGTTAGATTTTAAAAACAATTTACACAGGAAAATTTTATTCCAAATTAATAAACAATTTATTATTCAACACACTTGGCAGTTACTACATTCCCTCACGAAAATGGTATGAAATTTAACTTAAAGTATCGTGATATTCAAAAATCAAAACTGCTTTATTACAATTGTATACTGTCCATTGATGGTTAGGAATATGAGATAAATAGTGTTGGCATTAGATTAATCAGACAGCATTACTGATACACAGTAATAATCCAGTCATACATAGACCATAAAAGAACAATCAGCAAGCAGAGAAGTGGAGCAAGTGTAACACATACATTTTGAATTTTCGTTTATCAAATAGTATACCCTTACAAAAAATCCCAACTCTCAGTAAATCAGTACAAGGCATTGTATGTTCAAATCACTCTAGAGCTTGGCATCCAGGCTATTAAGTTTGTAAGGATGCTGTCTATGAACTATATTGAAACAGCAATGTACTGTTACATGCAAACCTATCAGTTTCCTACATGTTTCCAATATACCAAGCCTCACAGACATCACTTAATAATATTTAGTAATATCTGTGAGAAGGACCTATTATGTTGAAATGAACTTGTAAATATTGTTGGTCTATTCATTTGCCAGTACAATGTGGCCAGCTGAGTCCACCACACGCTGCAGACACTATGAAATAAATTATCACCTACAAAAAGAAACATGTTGACATGTATTAATACAACTGTAATTAGGTATCACAGGGAAACTATCATTCTGGTGAGGAGTTTGAGTTCTGGTATTAATTAAGTGCTGTATCCATTGTAAAATGTGAGACTCGTATTATTTTAGTCTTTAGAATTGAAAAGTTAAGTTTACTCATTGCTCCAAAATATAATAAGGGTCATAAGGGAATAGTATTGTGCTTATGGTGGTGGCATACTGTATTAAAACTCCTATTAGCATTGAATGACGAAAATGACTATGTGAAAAATGCTGTTTCTATTTTAAAGCTTACTAGCCACAAGAGACTGCTAATTAGTAAATATATCATCATTCAACATGGTTTCTATTCTTTGTTTAATTGTTTGATTACCTGTATAGGCCATAACACTTATTTACATTTTGCATCTGCACAGTCACTGAATGGCAAGAATCATTCGTTTGCATCCATAAATAAAATTATAGCATTGTTTGCTGCTGTTGTTATAAAATATGCTACTATGTGTGCGCCAAATAATAAACAACTTGCGATCAAGTCACAGAAGATTGTGAGGTATATTGCTGATTAATGAGCAACATTTGTTATTAGACATTCATGTCCCAGTGCGACGGCCTGTAATGAGCCTCGTATACTGTACAGAATCCTACATAGTATTTATATGACCAGTTCAACACCATAATTTCTATTGTGGAAAATTTGCAGTTTTATGTATTTGTTTATGATTTACTTGATAATTTGTGATCAAATGGATATAGTACACCATGTGTTAATGTTTGGTGAAAATTTAAAAACATTAAATGTCGAAAATATTACACAAGTATAATAAAGTCGATATAAAAGATGGAATAAAAGATACGGTAGTTAACCCCCCCCCCCCAAAAAAAAATATTAGACAAGTACATCTAATGATTAATTTAAAAACACATTTATACTTACAATTAAAACTATAACTAAAATGATAGTTAACTTTGCATTTTTAATACACATGGATCTTGCCAAATTTTTACTTGTTTTCTTGAATGTTAAACTCTGAAATGAATAACAAGAGTGCGATTCAAAAACATGATAGTTGTTATCAAAAGGTAAAGATACAATAATCTTTACACAACACTTCTCTGATACAATGTGCAATTATTATTCTCCAAAAATATTGTTTTCACACGCACACTGCAGTAATGATGAACCACAAGCTGTCATGATATAGCTAGTAATTAGAATTTCACATAACCATTAGTAACAGATAATAAGTGTGATCGACTTTGTTAAAGTGTCAATAGCTATCACTATCGATTTTCTTTGCAGATTTTTATTTTTAATAATTTTCGTGTCATCATCCCCAACAAGTCGACACTGAATACATAGCATAGGTGCTATATTTCAATGTTGTACATCAAATCACTTACAAGTGAAAATATATCAGCAGGGTTACGTGCAAGTCCCCAGAGAGTGCCATCTATTGAAATCCAGTTTGGTTCAGTGAACCTCAGGGATTACGATACAAGATGACAACTTACCATGGGTCCTGGACACAAAATGTCAAATACACTTCCTTCTTAGGAGGCTAAGCCTCTCACTGACGATTTTATGTTTCATTACCCATGGTAGTGTGCATTGTGCATCATAACTTACATAATGGTCTCCATCACATGACCGATTTATTTGGTTATAAAACAGGTGTCACAAACTAGTCAAACAAATGTTGGGATTTCCAGATGATAACAAAAAATACAATACACATTGGTTTTAATTTTGTTGGCAATGAAAAGTATACACGTAATGTTAAAAAAACACAAATTCATTGTTTAGACCCATTCACAATAAACATTGCAAACTAGAATAGGCGTTAGGTGCCTATGAAAACCTAAATTATACTGTAATTAAACTAATTATATTTAGGTGCCAGGAAAGATTGAAATGTTCGAAAAAATTGAGTTTTACGGTACTCAACCCTTAATTTTTGTATTGCATTCTATGTTATATTAGTGTTTGACAAAATGTTCAAAATCACAGCTATTGTCACTTTAATCACTGATCAAAGTCTGGTTTACTAGTAATTTATTTGTTGAAAAATATACCAAAACAAAAACTAAATCAGCTATACTTACATTTGTTTCAAGATCTTCGGTTTTATCAACAAGTAATTCCAGCTTTTCTCCCCGTGACGCTAAGGTATCTATCAAGAATTATTACACAAATTTATTAGTTATTATTATTACAAATGTACAATTGATCGCATCCAAGTTCATACTCTTGACATAAATCATATTCTGATTAGAAAGCGTCTAACTTCAAAGTACCTGTAACATAGGTTCTGATAAGGAGTTGATGAAGAAATTGAACTTGATTTACAGCAAGTCTCAGAAGTTTTGGGGCAGCCAATTTGCAAACTCGCTAGCGAATTGGCTAACTGCTTGGGTTTTGACTAAACGGTTGGCTTTTGAATCTCGCTGGCGCCGGTTTGTGATGATTTGAGCCCGAAAATGGCCACAGTCAGCTGGCGTGATAATATTATAAATGCGATTAATCTACCGATATTTATTATATGAGGTTAACCTTCTTGAACACTGCTTGAAACTAAATAGACAAGTTGAGAAACAGTTTCCTACAAATCAGGGAGAAAATAACAAACTTTCACACTCAAACGATCCGTTGGGGTAACATTAAGCCAACCGCTG